TCCAAATAGTGACTCAAAACCGCCTCTCTTCGCGACCGGCTTTTCAGATAAGAGTTTAACCCGTGTGTATGAATTCTACGGAAAGCACAAATTTCCGTTGCGCCCGCGTTGAACTGCTTAGGAGCAGTGAGCAAAACTCACTTTGCGGGATCACGATCAGGGTAGGATCTGCCGCCTTTTCTCCCCGAGGGAATTGGGTTGAAACCCCGCTTCACTAATCGTGTGGCTTTTTGTCCTTTCAGATTGACGTGTTAGAATATGTGCATAGTCAGGAGTACATTCATGGTGACGTCAAGGCGCAGAACCTCCTGCTCGGAATGGATGAAGGGGACCAACACCAGGTAATTTTTCTAGTCTTCTTCTTTTCCTCAATTTCAGTTATTTGTTTTCCAAACAAACACTCTTGTCTGTTTACCTAAACGCGCTGCAGCGCTTGCACACACTACAGGAAAGCAATACACCAAGCGCCCTGGCCGTATGACGTAGGTCGCAGAATATTGCCCCTGTGCTCGGCTGTGTTTAGTCTGCATAATATGCCGATAAGCACAATGGACTGGCTGTTAACGTAAGCATGCAGCATCAGGCGCCTGTCAACTAGGTTCGTGCAACGCAGCCTATGAGCGTGGCTCGGTGTGGCGGCGTGCGCGTCGCTGGAGGTGACCGGACGGACGGCTCGCCAGGTGTATCTGGTCGACTTCGGGATGGCCAGCCGCTACGCCAACGACGGCCGCCACAAGCCGAACGTGCGGGACGCGCGCAAGGCGCACAACGGCACGATCGAGTTCACCAGTCGTGACGCGCACATCGGCGCCCACTCCCGACGCGGTGATCTCGAGATCCTCGGGTACAACCTGCTGCAGTGGGCGTGTGGCCGGCTGCCCTGGCAGGACCACCTGCGGCAAGCCAACGCCGTAGCCCGAAGCAAGTGCGAGGCGATGGCCGACGTGAGCACCCTGGTGCGCACCTGCTTCCCGCTCGGACTCGTCCCGGGCGCAGGTGAGAGCCCTGATGCGCACCTGCTTCCCGCTCGGACTCGTCCCGGGCGCAGGTGAGAGCCCTGATGCGCACCTGCTTCCCGCTCGGACTCGTCCCGGGCGCAGGTGAGAGCCCTGATGCGCACCTGTTTCCCGCTCGGACTCGTCCCGGGCGCAGGTGAGAGCCATGATGCGCACCTGCTTCCCGCTCGGATCCATCCTGGGTGCAGGTGAGAGCCCTGGTGCGCACCTGCTTCCCGCTCGGACTCGTCCCGGGCGCAGGTGAGAGCCATGATGCGCACCTGCTTCCCGCTCGGATCCATCCTGGGTGCAGGTGAGAGCCCTGGTGCGCACCTGCTTCCCGCTCGGACTCGTCCCGGGCGCAGGTGAGAGCCATGATGCGCACCTGCTTCCCACTCGGACTCGTCCCGGGCGCAGGTGAGAGCCATGATGCGCACCTGCTTCCCGCTCGGGCTCGTCCTGGGTGCAGGTGAGAGCCCTGGTGCGCACCTGCTTCCCGCTCGGATCCATCCTGGGTGCAGGTGAGAGCCCTTATGCGCATGCGGCAAACACTCGGACCCGTCCCGGGTCCAGGTGAGAGCCCTGGTGCGCAGGTGGTAACCGCTCGGACTCGCCACGGGTGCAGATGAGAGCCCTGATGCCCAGGCCGTAGCCGACATTGCTGCGCTGGAACGAACTCCTGTCCTGCTCGGACGCGTCTGGGTTGAGGTGGAGCCAATCTTGGCCAGGGCCGCTACACACGTGCTCTAGTGACGTCTGTGGTTGTGCTTGTTGTCTACCGAATGACTGAACGCACTTCTTCGGCTGCGGTTTCAGCGACAGCTGCAAACGTCAAACCCCGCCATCAGTATAGACGGTTTGGCTCCCTTTTAATGTTTAGTAGGGCGCCACGATAGAGCGTCATGGAGCGGAGAGCCGCCCCGCGATGTCAAGCGTGCGCGCTTGGCCGAGCTGGTACGTGCTAAGGTGGCAAATTGTGTGTCCGGGGCAGACAAAGAGTTCTTTCTCCGAAACAGCACTCCATCGTCAACAAGGCCGGTGGGAGCCCCCACCGGTCCCTTGACCCCTGGTAAAGGCGCACCGATGGCCCTCCCCCACCGCCAACTCGGACTGGGTGTGCTGTTGTAAAGCGTGCCCCAGCCAGTCCACCGTCTCCATGCCACGGAGGAGACCCCAGAACTCGTGCCAAGGTGGGGCACGGTCCTACGGAGTTCAGCCGTGGCTTGCGGTCTGAGACGTCTGGTCTTGCAACGGGTGCAGCAGAGTTCTATTAACACGCGCCCGGGTCGAGAGGGTCAAAGTGACCCCCCGAAGGTTTTTCCAGAATGGTTTCCGAACGCCGCGGTGCAGCCGCGCCAAATTTTGCGTAGTTTTAGAAAATTGAATGGCGGATCGTTCTGTATTAAACTTATTTTTGTCACATTGAAATGTACCTTGTGAGGCCACTGACGTACGGCAGGCCAAAGTCAGACCATGGATTCTGCGAAGTCAGTTCCCAGGGAATCGCTCAATCTGATGCAACAACGGAATGTTGGACGAGACCATTCATCTCTGAGATACTTTTTAGGCTACGCCGCAATTGAATGAATGAATTCCATTGACCTTAGGTCAGTTTTAAAGGTCAGATCAAGGTTAAAGCCAATCTGCTTTGCTGCTCTAGGGCTTGTTGCACAGGGTAGTTTCTGGTGCTCATTTTGAATTTTTAATGACAGGAACCGCGTTATACATCTTCCATGCACTTCTCAAAGATCAGAATAGGTCACTGCCCTAAAATGACTCGGGTCAACATTTTGTTTTAAGGAACATACTGCCTAGCATAATCTTTGTCGCTTGTTCAAATGCAAAACTTAAAGCAGTCTTGTATGATTTTGATTAACATGACCTTTGAAAGGTCAAACAAGTTCACTGACCTTAAATGATCATGTAGCGTTTTTCCCAGAACAGGTATCTAGGTTCTGGGGTGCACTTTGCAGACCAACCTGGAGATTGACATTGTTTGACCTTATTTGCCCCGAAGTTCACGGCCTAGGAACTTTAAACATTGACCTAAGTAAGTTCAGGTACAGGTTAACACACTCGATAAATTTGGTGTCTCTAGCTTTCTTAGTTCCTGAAATCTCAGCTGGGGGGGGGGGGGGGCAAATCAACCCCCCTACTCCCACTCGAGCGAAGGGTATCCAACCGGCCACCGGGCGCGTGTTGAGCCGGACCCGGCTTAGGTTTTCACGCCCTATCTTACCTTTTTAGTACACCCTTTTACAGGCGTTTTACTGTGGAATTGAAGGGGAATAAGGGCGAATGTCCTAGATCTCCGGGCTGTTGTCAGCAGTGCTTTTCTTGCAGTGGTAGCGCTACAAGAGACAAGGCTAGCGCCTGAGTATTTCTGCTCTTTAAAAGGATATGCGGTTCTTGCAATGACGCGTTGACGTAGAATATTGCACATGGCGGTGCACTGCTTGCAGTTCACCATAGCGTGCCAGCGAGGAGGGTTAACTTGCGGCTCTCGCATCACGCTGCGACCACGCGGCGCCATCTTAGTCACCATCACATCACTGTTTGTTCGCTTTACCTTCCACCAGGTATCGCCTCGCCATCGGTGCGCATCCAAAATTTGCTGTCTGAACTCACTCTACCATTTCTCCGTCTAGGTGATGGTTTTAATGCTCTGATTCTAAAGGTTCTAATGCTCATCACACTGCACGGGGGTGTGACGTCACGAAATCCGCGGGGGAATGTGGAAGAATTTCATCCGTGGTGCTTCACTTTTAATCTAGACGCAGTGAATCTCCAATTCCCAGCTCGTTCAGCACCTCGAGTCGAGTGTCGGAGGTGACCCATTGGGAAGTGACCGCTTCTTTGCGTGGATCCGGTTTAACAGAAGGGAATATTGAGTGCTAGGCCGCAACACTGGAGGCGGACTGGTGCGAGCGTGTGACTCGGCTTGAAACATCGTTTTTACCTGACCGAGAGGGTGTCACCTTTAGTGAGCATTGTACTCGTAGACTAAGAATGTGCCAGCAACTGTATCCCATGCGCCCCATGTATCCTGGCGCCCCATGACACCCCAGTTCTGTGGTGGACGGAGGAGTGTCGGAGCGCCGTGCGGGCGCGGTAACAGCGCCGAGAAGCCGTTGTCGTCCCTTTCGCCCTTTCAAAGGCGAAATGGGTGTGATCGGTTTGGAAAGGTGCTCCGATGCGATAAGCTCAAGGACGGCGGGATCGAGGTTGAGTTCCAGAACGGAGAGGAGGCCAAACGGGCCAGGACCTCGGAAAGGTTTGTGTACTGTGTACGGGATGCGGAGGGGAAAAAGGATGTGTCAGTGGCGATGGCTGTGGAGGTCCATAGGACAAAGAACTCGTCAAAGGGTATCATGAACTGTTTTGACCTGAGAGATGTCAGTGATGAGGAGATAATCGATGGTCTCGCTGAGCTCGGGGTAACGGATGCTCGCCGCATCAAGGTGCGCAGAGGTGCGGAGCTGGTCCCCACGAACAACATTGTGCTGACTTTTAATCGTCCTGACATACCATCTGAAGTAAGGGTAGGCTATGTGAAGGTAAAGGTGCGCCTTTTTATTCCGAACCCCATGAGATGTTTTAAGTGCCAAATGTTTGGACATACGAGAGATTTCTGCCGCAACCAGCCAGCATGTGGCAAGTGTGCTTCTCCGGAGCACCCGAGCGATCAGTGCACTGCAGCGAACCCATGGTGTGTGAACTGTGGGAAAAACCAGAAACCTCACTCCACTTTTGATCGCGCATGCCCGGCGTACGCCAGAGAGAAGGAGATCATCGCACTAAAAACCACGAAGAACATCTCATTTCGGGAAGCAAGGGACTTATATGAACTGAGCCACCCTAAGACATCATATGCCACGGCGGCCAAGGTCCATGTCCCACCTGAGGTCTCCTTAGACCAGATGACTGGATCGCAGTTCATTAAACTGCTTACATCGTTCGGGCTGTCGGTTGTACCGGCGTCTCAGGTGCACGCCACAGCATCGGCAACACTGTCGTCCCCCGTCTCGTTGGCACCTTGTGCCCCCTCTGAGGCACAGGCCAGCGCGCCAGTTGTTACCCTCGCCGCCCCACCCCACACCAGCCGAAAGCAATGAGTGGACCGTGGCCCGCCGGGGCCGAACCTCTCGGTCTTCGCCAGTAAGCGCGCGATCACCGGCTTCACAACCGTCCTCCCCAGGAGCATCACGTCCTACAACCCTGAGTGAGACGATGGGTCGGAAACTGGACAACCTTGAGCGCCAAGAGGCGGAGAGACGGGCGCGCGAGGCAAAGCGTGCACGCCTTCAGGAGCAGGAGAGGGCAAAGGCAGCCAGTCGGCTGTCGGGTGCGGGCCCCGGGCCTGCTCCCACGGGGGAGGTAGTCCCACCTCCCCGAAAGCGTGTGGAAGCTCCCTCAGGCCCCTCCGACTCGCGGAGAGACCCGTCTATGGGTGCTCCACCACCACCGCCGCCTAGGACCACGGCGTCGCCGGCGCCGGCTCAGTTTAGGACGGGGCGTCCGGAAAAGCGTGGACCGCCGGGGCCGATTTCGCCAACAGATGGCGGTAGTCCCCGGATCCGACTCAGGATCCGCCCGATCTCTTCGGGTTCTGACGACAAAACCCACAACCATGGGCCAGGCTCTAGCGCTGCTGAGTTCTTTTAAAACCTTACAGTGCTTTTAAAGCCTCCTCATTCAGTCAGTTTTACAGTGGAACTGTAGAGGTGTAAGGTCAAGCACCCAGGACTTGCAGACAGTTTTAAGCGCGCACTGCCCGGTAGCCGTTTGTCTCCAGGAGACCAAGTTGGCGCCTGATGCGGCCTTCAGCCTGAAAGGGTACACTACCTTCCGCACTGACATGCCAACAGATACCGTTGCTTACGGTGGCGTTCTTTTGGCTGTACACCAAAGCGTACCTACGCGGCGTCTGGTGTTGAGAACAGACTTGCAGGCTGTCGCAGCAACGGTGAATTTCAACCGCCGCACCATAACTGTCTGCTC